CACTCCTGTAACCTATCCAGATCTTGCTGCAATCTTTCCCTCCCTACTAGCATGCTCACCTCACCCCAGATTTTGGTATCGTGAGCGAATTTAAACAGGTTGCATTTCACCCCGTCTTGCAATGTAGACCTTAAATAAGAGAGGAGATGGGCTCAGAGCAGAAATCCACTGTGTTTTAGGACATATTTGAAGTTGCATTTTGAAGCATAGTTTCTATCTTTTTCATTTCTTTTGGCGGAGTTTGCCCTGGACAAAGCTAAAGGTAGTAAAGTGATAGTTACATTGTTACCCTCTCTTATTTGTTAATCCTATTTTTTTAGTAACTGTGGGTCCAAAGAAAACAGAATTTCAGAAAACAAAGGAAGCTTGTTTAAACTACATTCAAGATGCCCTGTTGCAGAACCAGTGGCAGAGGGCTGCAGAGTTCATGATTAGCTACTTGGAGATACTGGAAACAAGTACAGTGAGTAAACGGAAAACTGCTCCAGAGGTAAGATAAAAAGAGGCTGTTACCAGAATTCACTTGCCGTTAATGGAAATAACTTAAAAGGGCATTTGAAGTAGTTCATGATCCAAACTTGTGTCTTATTTATTAAAAAGAAACCTCAAAGCTTTACAAGAACGTGTGCGTTAGAGAGGTTTTGAATACTCTCTAGGTATCCATACCAACTGATAAGTGTGGAAAACAAACCTGTAGCATATAAAACAGTAGAGATATAGAACAAAATTTAGCAGTTCAGTACAGCTGATGCATGTCCCTGGCAGAGGGAGCACAAAGCTGCACCCTGCATATGAGCAACCACAGTTCTGTTGCACAAGTATTGGGTAGTAGACTACACAAAGCTAGACCCCATATTTGCTAGCAGTTAAGGGGTTTTATTCAGGTAATGTGGAGCAGCTTGGGAGCAGGGGAGTTGTCTAATGTAGTAGCAACCTTTTAAGGCTTTGGGCTGGATTGGCCCAGTTGGAGTCAGAGGCAGGCAGGTGGATGGGTGGCTACTAGGACCCAACCAGCACCAGCCCTGTTCCCTATGGCAGCAGAGGGGAGGTGCCACTCCAGTGGTCTGCAGGCATCATCCAGGCTGGGGATCAGCAGCCTATGGCCTTCAGGCTAATGTATCTCTGAATTTCGTGGGCTGATTGACTGCATTTGGAACAATCTGCCCTGAAGCCAGTATTTGACATCTTAATTTAGTGGATGACAGTATTACCACCTCTTATGTTCTAAAGTCACCTGATTTCCAGAACTTCTGGGGTCCTGCTGAACCCTCTGAAGTGCTGCTGCTGAGTGCCTTGGAAAGCTGGGCTCTGAGTCCCCTGCACAAATGGTTTGTTTGGGCTCATAGCAAAGGAGATGACAATTTGTTTCAAGTATGAATTAATTCTCATTAATCTTGCAGGTAACATGCATAATTAATACATATCTTTTTTTTTCTAAACTGTCCAATGAGAATACATTTGCCATTGGTGTCCCATGTCAGAATCCATTTGAAGTTTGGAATCCTATTTTTTTTTTTTTTTTTTTAATTCCCTATTAGCTTTCTCTAGAACCGTATGAGCCTTCTCTCTAGTTGCTTCATCTAAGTATCTGAATCGATACAGGTATTGAAGCAGCATTTTCTTTAAAAAGTGCCACATGGAGCCTTGCAAAAACCCCTAGAACTCGGTTCCAAATAATACCTTTTATTAGGGAAATTGCAAGAAAATTGTCCTTTTCTGCAAGCTTTCGGGAGCTTTCTGCAAGTTCTTGTTTTTTGTATGTCTGGTCTCACACCAACACAGCTACCAAGTACATCCCTGAAATATGGAGCCTTTGCATTCTACAGCCTGTTACAATTTTGGATCTAGTCCTGTAAACAGACTTTGATCAGAAACTTTTTCTTCATGGGGAGGTCTTCTGTTTTCAAAACTTAAGAGATTTTTTTCCCCTCTGCATCTCTCTTGTATTAAAGTAACATGAGCTTACCTCTACCTTGCATTCTAGAGGGAAAATATCAAAGGAAAACTGCTCTTTTTTTTTTTAGTTGAACTGTTTTCAGCAGGAGGAGATGGATTTTAGCTTTGCTTACAAAATATGATTTCTGTATATTTTGCTAAAAAAAAAAAACACTTTATGCCTGCTTAGGGAACTTCCATGAATGTTCATTTTTATTTCTGTTAAACCATATACCATGTGTAGATGATATTAATTTGCTGATAAGTAAAATTTGCATGTTCGTTTTTCACTAAAAGAAGTACAGTCAAGTCTCATCTTATGCATATTTAACTTATGTGAATTCAGCTATATGCGCTCGGCTGCTGGGGCTGGCTGTCGGGTGCCAGCCAGGGCACGATGCATACTGCAGTGCTGCGTGGTACTGCCTGCACGTGCTGGCCTGGTTGGGGGGCAGTAGCTCACTCGCACTTAGCTGGCTGCCCTGGCGGGACAATGCAGTGGAGGACAAGAGGGTGAAGGAGTGCGGCGGGAAGGGCGATTTCATCTATACGTGATTTTCGCCTTACACGCTGACTTCAGCACGTAACTACTGCTTAAGATACGACTCCACTGTATGTCCATTTCTGATAGAACACAGAAAGGAATAGTAGTAGTAATTTAGTGATCAGAGACTACTATTACTTCGGTTGTGGTGCATAGAAGCTACGTTTCTGAAGTGTGTATTTACTTTGCAGGCAATTTGGAGAATAGGAACTGAAATTCTGCTTCATCATTCCAAGAGCAACATAGAAGAGCTCAACTACTTTACCGAGCGGATGAAAAATTTAGGAGTAAAAAATTATTTAAAGGTAGGACAAGCTTAAAGGGGCGTTAGTGACTTAAATTATGCTTATGTCTGAAAATTTATGTATAGGGGTTACCACCAATTTTTAATGATATTATCCATAATGGAGATAGTAGTCTTGATTACACTACTAGCAGAGATGGTACTGTTAATATATGGGCATTAGTTTCCATAATATTCTGCACTACATGCTTTATAGATTTGGCATCATTTGCCCTTTTTCATTGTAGTTGCTTCTTGGGCTGTCCATAATGATACCCAGGTCCTTTTTCTCAGTTGATAGAATGAATTTGGGTTTATGAGTATAATTTAATTTTCCTTTCCAGCACGTTAACTTTAGTTATCCACACTGCCATCATATCTGCACTTCTTCATCGTCTGTTGTGCTCCCAACTGCCAGACCTTTCTGCCATGCTGCTTTCCTACTCTTTAAGTCACTAAAAAAGATTAAACCATTAACGCTTGTGTAGAATGTTATGGCATCATGTTGTTCTTCTTTTGCCACAGTGAAAATGGATTCTTTAATCCTGCTTTCTATCTCCTAATCTTTCTTTTGATCCACAGTGATGTTTTGCTTCTCCTATGTAATTAATTGTGCCTCTTGTAAGTGGCCTTGTTAGAGACCTTTTGGAAGCTTAGATACGCTTTCATTTAGTACCCCTTTTGCTAACTACCTTCCCAATATGTTAAAACCCTCAGGTTAGCGAGTTGTGATTTTTTTTTTTTCCTTCATATGCTGCTCCCATGTCAGTTGAACCCTTTTTCATCATAATTAAAAATAGAACAAATCACCTGATATATGTGATTATCTGCCATTTTACCAGGTACAGATGAAAGGGTTACTGGAGTAATTTTGTTTTTTTAAAGCCTTTAAAAACGTAAGCCTCTTTTGGGACTCTTGGATAGATATCAGCTGTGCCTGGTGACTTACTGCTTTGGAAATTATCAATTTGTTTCAGCACTTTTTTTATTCCATCTCTGACAGTTCCCCATCTTTATTATCAGGGTAAAGGAGGTCTGGGTTATATCTCTGCAACATCTGTGATTCAGACCAAGACAGAAACATCCATTTAGCTGTTCGCTACTTCTTCCCACTTACTGTTGTAGCTATCTCCCCTGTTTTTGGGGAGACACCTGTTGAATGAAAGAATCGACGCAAAATGCATTTCTGCTTTTTTTCTCTTTTGATAATCGTTCAAATTAAAATTTATGCAGAATGTTTTATATGGCCATTCACCTTGCTCTTCTGTTGAGATGTAGCAAAAAAGTAAAATAAAAAATGTATGTTGTTTTGAAAAATCTGCTGTTCTGTAAGATGTAATGGGCATCATTTAGGAGCTTGTTTTTTTTTCCCCCTCTTTGTCATAGGTTTGTTTAGAACACATCTTTTATCTCCTGTGTAATGGATTGATAGATGAAGCCTACCAAAACCTTACCCTGGCGGAAGGCTGGAGGTATGGAGAACAAACTGCTGCTCAGAATGATGAGCTGAAACTCATTCAAGCTTACAAGGGTCTCCTGGACTACTATAACTGGTCTGAGAAGAGAAAAGCCATGTTAGAGCTTGGTGAGTACCAATGCTGTTTTCTTTGACTACTCTGTACATTTCAGTTTGCCTAGTTTCACAGGCCACTGTGATTTGCAAATGATTATAGGAAGATGGGCCAGCTAGAAAAGTAGTAGCTACACTCTACTGGATCACATGCAGCACAAAGTTCTCAAGAAATACAAAAAATAAGTCATGCCACAAACTTCTTTTTAAGAAGAGTTTTCTGCTACTGTCTCTTCATATTCCTAAAACAATTGTCCTGGTAATTAACACAATTGGTTGCCTTCTCAGTGAGACAAATCTACTGTTCAGGTGGAATTTTCTGTCTACTGTATGATTAGCTTGATCTTATTTGGGTCAGATTTATGATGGCAAAGCAAGTCCAAACCAGTATTACATACTGAGGTGTTTCAGAGCTTCAGTTGCTAACCTGACCATGGGACGCTTTGCTGATGAGGGAAAGTTCCTAGGTTAGTTTTTTGAGATTAATGCTTGTCTACTTCAGATTAATGGTGCCTGAGGGCCTTGATGAAGATTCTTTTGTGATACTACTGCCCTCTCCAGTTACTGCCTTATCTCCAATTTCAGGGGAAGCCTGAGAGAGATGGTGCTACTTCATTCTGAGTTCCTTGACCCATTTCACTCTGGCTTTAGATCTAAGACAGTGGTTTTCAACCCCAGACAGTATGTCCCCTTTGCTTTCTTAGTTGTGTAGTTAACATTGTATTTGGAAACAGAGCAAGATGGTTGGTTTCATTTTAGTTTCTGTTGCTTTAGTGTAGAGAGTGTCTTATAACAAGGATACATCTTTTTCTTTTTATCAAGAGAGTTTATCCACTGGTGGTTGGAGGTGGCTTTGGATCTGTGGCAATTAATAGAATTATGCAGGGTGCCAGGTTAACCAAAAGTATCTGTGCTTGGGGCAGGTATTTGCCTTCTTTAAAGGCAAGAATACCTGTGGGAAGTCCATACCCAAGATCTCCAGCCAGGACTACTTTAAATATACTCCCCATGCAGCTGTTCGTGAAGACTACTCACTATCTTTAACTTGGGCACTCTGCTTGTCTGCTAGTGTGCTTGTGGAGTTATCTGCTAAGAGCACCTTCCACATATTTTTTGTTAGCTGTCCTGGATCTCGCTGCTTCTGAGAGAGACACTTATGTTGATTTTGATCTACAAAGTGCAGTGCTGCATGTGTCTTGGCTCTTTGAGAGACCACTTGTTATGTACTGCTATGTGAGTTGAGATTAGTTGTGACATCCAGCCAGACTTCCTAGATTTAAATGAGGGCGGGAGCATGGAGACACTGAATACCGTTCAGTAGCAAGTCAGTGACTCTGGAATTCCTTTCCCTTGAGGATGATGGGGATGCGGGGGGGAGGTGGAGAGTTGCCCTGTGATCCTGTTAGATATACAATGTAAAAGGTCACTTGTGGCATTTATTTAAACTTCTGCAAGAAAATTATATATCATTTAAGCAATATTAATATAAAAGTGATGTAAAACAAATTTAGGAACCATCCTTATTTTAAAAAGCCATTTAAAACAAATTGTCAAACTACCTTATGAGGCTGACGTACCGTAATTCCTCTGACATTCCTGATTCAGATTTTTACCTTAGTGGAAATTATCGTATTATCTATGACAACTTTTTTGTGCACAAAATGCAATATTGCTTATTTAGACTTTTACCATTGTGCAACATAAAAGTACCTGTCTCAAGTCCTTGGGTACCCTTAGAAGTAGGCATGACATATGCTCCAAGCATGTAAGCTGGCATAGGTAGGAGTTTCTAAGGTCCTAATGAAGAATGTTTACTCAGGCAAATTCTGCTTAGAAAATGGGCATGAGTGTCTAGTCTCTTCTTTATGTCAGCTGCCTTCCCCATGTGGTTTTATTGTAAATTCTTAATTTTGAATTCCATACCTATAGCAACTTGATATGACTAGCTTTGTTCTTCATAGATTGATCTGCATTGATCTCCATTTATTTTTATTTCCCCTCTCTGCACTAACAAAATAAAGAGCTCTTAAACTGTTCACAGTTAAATGACTACATAAATCAAGATTCAGACCTGAATTGATTAATTTGTTAATTCCCATGTAGAACACCAAAAATAGAAACTATTTCTAATCTCCACAGTTGGTGCAAAATAATATATTTAGCTCATTCTCTAATTATCTTGAGCTAAGTTATGTGGGTGTGTTTAGTATTTTTCCCCATCCACAGTTTCTACAAATGAACAACTTCCCTTTCATCCTTTGTTCTCACTGATCTGCAAACTCTACTGTTGAGGAACTTGCACTTGACTTATCTCTGAAACAATCTGTCTTTGTCCTGCCTTCATGAGACTGCATCTTACATATAGTACTCCATCAGTATCCCATTAAACTGACAAAATAAAACTAATTTTTATCTTTTGGCAGATGAAGAAAATTTTACAGACTCCTCTGAACAAGAAATGCACAACTTTTTTCGGCAAGCAGCAGTGAATCTTAAGGAAATAATTAAAATACCTGGAGTTTGGGATCCTTTTGTGGTGTGCTATGTGGATGTAAGAGCACATTTACATGTGTATTCTTAAATAGTTGCCTATGGTATATCAGAGCAAAATATATTCTGGTATTCGACTATTTGAAGTTCTGTTATAATTAGAGTATTATCACTCAGTACATTTTTATAAAAATCTAGTGTTCTCTGGTCTCCTCTACTTATGTAATTGATTAAACTAATTTTTACTTTCCATTGCAATGTAGGGCCAATGTAAAGTGCATGCACAGGATCATTTATTTAATTTCATTTGATGAACAGATTGCACAATCTTTGTTCATGATAATGACACAGGAATTAAGAGCATGACTTGATTTCTACTCCCCCATCTGTGTGCAAAAATGGAACAATCCCCTTTTAATTGTCAAAGGGTAGGCACCCTTTTCTGGCCATGGGCTGGAATGACCTACTCCAGGTTGGAGATGGACAGACACTAAGACCTTACTGCCACTATCATTTGTCTCCCTGGCAGCACAAGGAGAGGGTCTCATGCCAAATGCCACCAAAGTCCTGTTTCTGCAGGACAGCTCCAAAGGTTTTGCAGGCTGGGTCCAACCCATGGGCCATAGGTTGCTGATCCATGCTGTAATGGATCCCTGTATCAGGAAAAAAAATGGAATTCCTCAAAGTCTCTTTTCTGTTTACAAACTTTAAATACAGACCTAACCTTAGCATATCTCTTAGAGTGTTTCACTTATTATAAATGGAGGTTGCTAGCCTGCCCTGTGGTATTTTACCTGCTTCTGGAATCTCATTAGGAGAACTAACCTAGAGCAGAGCAGTCCTGTTCATTGAAAAGAAATACTGGAACAGTAACAGGAACTTTTTAATGTGTTAATATTGAGTTGCCTGTTTAAAGTATTTTTAGTGGTCTTTTAATGATTTCTGCATATTAATAATTTTCCCTGTATATAGCGGGAAGTAAATTGCATGTAACAGCAGCACTATTAATGGACATTAGACTTGTACAGAAACATGCTAACATATTTCTGTTTTAGTCAGGAAATACCTGATGATGCTGGGTACACAGTATTGTTTACTGCAAAATAATCAAGAATTTGCTGCATTGTAAATTCTAAAATGCTTCACTATGTTTTTCCTCAGTTTTCTTTGGGCCTTATTCCATTGATTAACAAAATACTCCAATTCTTATTTGTTGATTCTAGTAGGGTTTGGTCTGAGACTTTTAGAGATACAAAAACATCTGAGGGTGAGGTGGTTTGGAAGCAAACAGAATTTATACTTAGAGATGGCCTCTTCACAAAGAAGTTTGCAGCTTCACCTTTTATACTTTCATTATAGGGGACATCGATGTCCACAGTTATTACGGTTGTTAGGAACTTTCATAAATACTAACATTAGGAAACAAGTATGGAATTCCTCAAAGTCCCTCTTCTATTTACAGGTCTTAAAGTTTAAGACAGATATCAAACTCATATGCACCCATAGGCTGCAAGGCTGCTTGTGGGGCAGATCTGGACCTAGCAGGTCATGTAGATTAACACAGTGGTTGTCAACCGGGGATATGTGTACCCCTAGGGGTTCTTGAAAAGATCATAGTGGTGGGCATGTGCCCCCCCCATTGTGTGCATGGGGTAGTGGTGGTTGCCGCTGTGCGCTGGGCTTTGCATGCTGCTGCAGCTGCCCCAGGAGCAATACAACACCATGTGCTTGTTGCTGCTGGGCTGTACTGCACCCTGTGCCCACCTGGTGGTGGAACGCAGGTGGCATCACACTGTTCCTGGGGTAGCTGCAGCAGCATGCAAAGCCCAGTGCGCAGTGGCAGCCACCTCCATCCACGCACAGATTGGGGGGGGGACACACACATGCCCCCTAGGCCTCCACTGGGGTGCGCAGAGCGGTGGGAGCCCCCCCCCCCATGCCCCTAGATGAGCCTCCTGGGCTCCATTTGTCCCATGACTCAGCCTGGCTGGGGCCCCATTCACTCCAGCCTGTGCCCCTATCTGTGCCTCACTCCTGCCTTCACCCTGGGGGCCTCAATCTGTGCCCTGCCCCCCCAGCCCTTTCCCTTCCCCCACAGACTTACCTGCTGGGGGGGTGTACATGCACACATGTCTACTGAGCCCCCTCCCCCCAAAAATAATTTTAAGATAAAGGGGTACATGAGCTGAAACTTTGAGATAGAAGGGGCACACTTGTTAAAAAAAGGTTGAAAACCCCTGAATTAACACAACTGCCTCTCAGTCCCCATTGTCCCCTCCCCACATCCTCCCTGCTGCCAACATATGTCCCCTGCAGGACTCTAGCTGAGAATTTGGTGGCAGGTTCAGTCTCGTTCCTGAATTCCCAGCCCCTCTGGGAGCCCTGTGGATGGGATGAATTGGCTCTGTGGGTCTTATATTTGACACTATGACTTAAGAATATGCTATTTTGTATAATAATAGCAACAATTTTAAATAATAGCAGTTGTAAATATTTGGTTATTTATTTGATAAACACCAGCAATATGATCATCTCATCTTTTCCATAGCTGTTGGAATTTTATGGAGATTATGATGAAGCGCGGGAAGTCTTAACTGAATATGCCTACAACTCCAAGTTTCCTCCCAATCCCAATGCTCATGTGTACCTCTATCATTTCCTAAAGAGACGGGGTGAATCCAAAAAATCACTGGTATCTGTTCTTAAGGTAAGTGATTAAGGCAACTTAAATTTGTTAAATTTGGTCGCTGAATTAGAAGACTATAAATTAAAAAAAAAAATTTTTTTTAAAGGTTTGTGTTTTACGCTAATGACTTGTCTCAGCTGTTACACATCATGTTTAAACAACTTGATTTTGGATAGAAGGATCAAGTTCTACAGTCAAAATATTGTAAACCAACTTTATCACCTCATATCATTTAGCAAATGATGTGAACATTTCAAAATACCATACTTACTCAAATCCAAGACGAGGTTTCCCCCCAATCAGCATGGGGGAAAGAGCCCTGAGTTTTCGATTTTGCATACAAAGCATGGGGGGAGGGCACTGCAGCTCTGACTCTGGCTCTGAGCCCACATTGGGGCCAGAGTCATACCCACAGCAGCCACCCTCTCCCCTTACTGTCAGGCACAGCTTGGCTCTGGCTTGGGCTGGGTTCCCTCCCAGGCACAGAGAACATGGAAACTCCTGTTGCCTGCCTGGCCAGTCAGCAGCATGGACACTGCTGCATGGTCCATCAGGGCTGCTCTTTCACATGCTGTGTTCTGGGAGGAAACAAAGCCCAAGCAGCATCTGACACTAAGTGTGTGTATATGGAGGGGGTGGGGGTTGGAGAGGGGAAGGGTCAGAGACTATATGGGGAGCTGCGGGGTGGGCAGAGACTATGAGGAGTGGTAGGAGGGAAAGGGCAGAGATTGGGGGTAGTGGCAGGGAGGGGCAGAGACTATATGGGGAGCTGGGAGTGGGGAGAAGCCAGTGGTAGGGCAGGAAGGCTGGGTGGGGGCAGATGGCAAGGGGTCAGAC